CCAGAAGGGCAGCTTGAGGCAGAAGGCCCTGGCAGGAGGCTGATGCCAGAACCCTAGGGTGGAGTAGCAGGTGGCCTGCTCTTGGAGCAGCTGGGGACAGGGCCAAAGAGCTAGTAAGGAGAGAGCAGAGAGTGCAAATCAAGTGTCCAAGCTGGAGGGAGAGGCTAAACCGGTAACTGGGATCCGGGTGGAATATGTAATGCAGGCCCGTGTTGTGGGTGAAAAGCCAGAGGAGAGGTCTGCAGCAGCCACCACCTGTGCTTCCTGAAACAAATAAGGGAACAGGAAAGAAAAGAACAAGTGAGGGGAGGGGGAGGAGGAGGGAAGAGGGCAGAAGGGAGGGTGGGCGGGAGGGAGGTGAACGAAGGCACAATGCAATGTTGAGCATCAACCTTGCAAGCCCTTTAATAAACGTGTTATATTGATTAAGTCATCTTTACCATAAAATAGATTTGCATTTCCCTCCAGCCCAGGCTCCCAGCTCTGCAGCTTGAGAAACACCTTATAAATCCACAGCTCCTGTTGGCTTCCTAGGAAGCCCAGATAGCACTTCCCAGAGAACCTGTGTCTGGAAGACCAGCCACTTCCTGAGGTCCCCTGCTCTGGCCAGAACAGTCCCTCCGTGCAAGAAAAGTGTGCTCATCACATGTTCATTTTTTAGCTGAAAAAAACCACCAATTCAAAGTGCTTTACTACTTTGAACTACATATAGCATTATGGATTTTGAAGAACCGCGCAAGAAAACATCACTTAAACACACATAACGCTGGCCTCTCCCACCCTCCCACCCGACAGGGAAATAGCTGGCTAAGGGCCCAGAGACCAGAAGGGTTTTCCAACATATCATTAGAAGCACACAGGGGCTACCATTAAGACCAGTCCATTTTCTGTGATGCTAAATCCAGAGGCTAATTTTCAAGAGTTTATAAAAAAATATTTTATTGATTCACAGGCTCTCATATTGGCTCAACTTTAGTATACATTTACTAAAGCTCCAATCTTCCCCATTAAAATCTAAGACACACTTTAAATTGCATATGGATATATATTGAATATATACACACATACATATGTGTATACATACATATAGATGTACGAATGAAATAAAGGTAGGCATTCCGTCTGCACACCCTGCCGAGTTTGGAGTGCAGGCTGAATTCTGTGCAAGGCGAACATGAAGAGAATGCTATGCCATTGCAATGCAGCACAAATATAGTGATGTGGTCTCACTGTTGGCTGTTTTGATTTATGAATTCATCCAGGGAAAACCCACAACATTAATTCATAGAGGTTAAACATAAATCCCCAGAGAAATGCAAATGATCAATCCACATAAGAAAAACTGCTCAATCTTTTCGAAAATTAAAAAAATTACTCTGAACTGATAATGGTTGTCTTTTACTTTGGCAAAGACTAATAAAACAATAATAATACTCAAAGCTGGCAAGGCTGTGGTGAGACAATTCCTCTTACTCGTTGAAAAGGCAAATGTAAACAGGCACACACTGCAGCTGGGGTGGTCTGCCAATAGCCTTGAACCCAGTTAGCGGCGGTAAAGAGAAGCTTTTGTCTTTGTAAAACTGCAGACAGTCTGGCAACTCCCCAGGACCAGATGTTCCAACGTGAGGCATGGGAAAGAAGAGAACCCGGGAATGAGAAGAACTGGACCAGTGGAAGAAGAGCACCTGACCAGTCGAGAGAAGAGACATTCCCACAAATGCTGCTGCCTAACAGTTTTATCAGTTGCCCGATGAAGAGGGATCAGAATGAAGACTAGAAGCATCCTGTGAGTCACCCATCATGGCGGGCTTAGCATGACATAGAAACCCCTATCAACAGTGCCTTGGTGGGGATCCAGGCAGGCTCAGCCAGTCATGAGGTAAAGGAAAACCTTCAGGGAACACAGTAAAGCACCGAAGCAAGCCGACTCCGTGGAGGGTGTGGGACCGAGAGGGGAGAACAGGATAGCACTGAAAGCTTCTGAGGGTGCCCAAGCCCATGGGGGCTTGCTGCCATCTGCGATGGCACTGCGCTGTGTGTGGACTTCTCAGAAGGCCAGCTAAAGCCTTTACAGTTGCCAGCCTGGTCCTCAGCCGTGGTCACTGTCACCAACGCCCGGCAATGTCTAGTATCTCAAGTGCCACCAGACTCACACTTTTCCCTCAGAAACCATCTTCTGCAAACCAGACACAAAGGCAATTTTGACAAGGGAAGATGTGTCAGGAGTGATTTCAAGGTGCCAAGCAACTCTCATACCTGTGCCAGTCCCTGGTTTTGTCCTCTACGGGTTGTAAGGTTTTCTTGTCTTTGCTTGATACCAAAAATAAAAAAAAAAGCTCAGATTTTAAAAGCTCCCAATAATGGCTGAATAATATTCACACTTGACATGAACATTTTAAGAGTTTTCTAATATTATTTGGTCAGAGGCTATCCAGGGACTTCCTCCTTGAAGAAGCCATGCACGTCCCCTCCATCCCTGGTCCTCCCCTCAGTGGTGTGCCAGGGCCAAAGGGGTGAAATAGAAAAGCTCACCTAAACAGAAATTAGCCATCCAAGAGCCTCAAGTTCCTGCAACTTACTTCTAGATTTCAAAGTGCTGAGAAAGCGCTGAACCAATTTAATGTATTCATTCAACAAATATTTATTATGCTCTCACCAGGCACTGTTCTGGATGCTGGGGAGCAAGCAGGGAAGCAAAGAAAACACCCCCGCCTCACACAGATTCTGCACTTCAGTGAGAACGTCAGAGAAGTGAAATACATCACACATAAGTCAGGACTCAGGGCTTGCTTGTTTCCTAAACTCTTTATATCTCCTCACCCCCAGTGGGAGACACGAGACCATCACCTCCACTCAAGACCGTCCACTTCACTCCAGGGCCGACAGTCACCACCGGCTCAGTCAGACCCCAGAGAAAGCATTACGTCTGTACCCAGGGCCCAGCATCCAGGCAGCCTGACTTCTGTCTTACTCTGATATTGTAGGGTCTGGTAACAGGGTCCTGGCTTGGTAAGGGAATCTGGTAGTAAAACTGAGACACATGCCATCAACTTGGCCCCAGAAGCCAGGCTAGAGCCACATTACCAGGCCCTGAAAGAAAAAAAAAAAAAGCATCCTGAGAGAATGCAGAGTTTGGTTTCAGACATACTGTATTGTGGGTGCTGGGCATGCAGGCTGGGGTGTCCACTGGGTTGTGAGCCAAGACCCCAGTTCTAAAGGTGAGGGCTTAGTGTGGGAATGGAGGGTCCAGCCACATGGAGGTCTTTCTTGAAACCCAGAGATAAGATCAATCAAGGAAGCGATGCAGAGAAAGAGAAGAGGACCAAAGATGTTCCGGGGAAACTGGGCTTTTAAGCAAGTGAAGGAAGGGGAAAGATAAGAGCGCAGATGCAGTTACAGCCCAATGGGCTGTAAACACGGCAGAAGGAAAAGCTAAGGGGAGAAGTAGGGAAGCGAAGAAACCCAGGTCAGGGGACTGAAATGGATCCATTAGGTTTGCCTACTTGGCCCCTGCTAAAGACTTTCAAGAAAGGTTCCAGTGGAGGGTCATATTACGAGAGCAGAGGGGCCAAGGACGCAAGTGTGCAAGTCCACTTGGTAGGTCTGGGGTAAGAAAGGAGCAGGGAGGCGGCCTGGGAGAATGGACATGAGGACAACCCACACAAGGTTAAGGGGGATTCCGGGCTGAGATCTGGAACAAGCACCAGAGGAAAGACTGCCCGTGATGGAGATGCCATGGAAGGCAAGCACTGCCTGGCAGAAGAGCTCAGCAGCTTTCAGCTGCAAGTAACAAAATGTCCCACAAAAGTGGATGAAACAAAAGAGCCTTATTTTTTACACATAAAGTACAAGGTGTCAGCCCCATGTTTCAGGAAGCTCCAGAAGCACTAGAACAAGAAGTATTTTTCATATATTCCAGATCTAGGTGACATCAAATGTACACAGTTGGCATGGGAACTGGAAAGCTTGAGGGACTTGATTTTCAAAATTCATTGTACAACTGTCTCTGCATTTTGCGTAGGTGTGGACGCTAATGGTGATGCTTAGGCCAGTGCAGGGCCAAACACATACTTCTTAATGAGTTTCCTAATACTTTCTTCACTGGATTATCAGCGCTCGTGTTTTTGGCCATCAAATGTATTTATGCAAATCACTTTTCCATCCAAGCATAACCTGTAAGTGTTGCTAAGTGACAGCTTTACCGCTGAAAGGCCCATTTTTTTGTGTGCAGGGGCATCCAGAGAAATGATGTGCCTGAGGTCCCACGTATATTCCCACTCTCCCCCTCCCCAGACAGCCCTGGCCATTGCCAGGGGGTCTCATTCCAATATCTGGGGCCAACAATACTTTGCTTGAAGTGATGAATCACGCTCATTAAATTAGGGTTGGTCACCTTCATGTGACTATTTATTTTGCCCTGTGTCTATCGATTGTAGAACTTTATTGATTACTAATTTCAGTTAAGACAGACCTCAAGCATTACAGATTCTGGCTCACTCCACCAATCCTGCGGGACAGAAAGGGAACAAATGCATGGAAGGTATGGATGGGAACGACTTCCTAAAAGTCAGAATGAAACCCCAGAATGGGACCCGTGATCTCGAGAGGAAGCAGTACCTCATTCCTAGATATGTCTGAACATTTGAATGTTTTCCTAGTGGGTCCTAAAACCCTTGGAGCCAAGGCAGATGCAAGGACTCAGAGGTAGCTCTTGTGTAAAGTTTGTGTTCCCAGGTGGCCTCGAGCAATCGCCATCACTGGAAACCTTAGTCTACCTGACTCCAATGCACTTGCCAGCCCTGACTTCTGTGGCCCAGCCAACCAGATCTCACTGTCCCGTCCCCCACTGAGAACCACTGTCCAGGCATTGCACCACGAAGCCACCACTTTTAAAGCTCCCCAGGTGATTCTGATGAACATGCAAGTTCAAACCACTTGTCCTCACGACAAATGAGAAACTCTACAGGCAGCGTTGTGGTCCCCAGTGACCTGGGACCTACCTGAGGGTTCCGTCTCATCTCCTGATGCTCTGCTGTCTTCAACTTCCAGCAGCACGAAACAGTTCGCATTTCTCCATGTATACCTGGTGGCCAGAGAGGAGGAAATCTGAGACTTGGCTTTGGATATGGGAGACGCTGGGACAAGGTAGGCTCCAGAACTTGCTTTCATGTGACTCCTTAAGATGTTAGGAAATAGGGCGCTCAACAGGGCTCAGCCTGACTTCCTGGGTCTTCTCTGCCCAGTCAACAAAACAGTGTTACCCTGCAGCTTTTGCTTCCTTCCCTTGTACGTGTGCCTTGCACAGACCTTACAGGGCCCTTGTGGGGAAGGGGTAGCTGTGGGCCTGAGCCATCCATGGCATTCTTCAGTTCGCTGATCATAAGCCACTTTTGTGTCTGCCTCCTGCAGGAAGCTGAGCTCTTCAAGGGTAGGCCCATATTATTCTGCTTTCTTTTTTTCCAGTTCTCAGCATGGTACTTGGCATATAGGAAGTGCTCAAAGAATTACTTATTCATAAGAAATTAATATATGAGGAGTGTACCTTCCCAGAGCCTGTGTGGGATGGAGGCAGGACAAAGGGAAGTATTTTTAGTTTCCATGACAAATCTGAGAAATATGGGTTTTACTCCCCATTACATAGACTCATGGGCTCAGGGGGAAGGAATTTAAACACAACAGAACCTGGCAAAGGACTTCAAGGTCTCACAATGTTCCCTCCAGTTGGCTGCCTCCTCTCCAGGTGAGAACTGACTCAAACCCACATATGAACATTGTAGGCCACACCAATGGGTATCATCATGACAATTATATTTGCAAGTTTCAGGATCAGTTGTGCAATTTCCCAAACTTCATTAAAGAAGTACTCTAGAAATCTGTTGACTTATGGGCCATTTGACTGTCTGAGATAGAATATAGAATGTTCCTGAGAATGGGCCCAGGGTCTAACAGATCCCTTTGTCCAGATAGCATCAGCATTCGGCTTGTGGGTAACTCCCATCATCCTTTTCTATACTATAGCATCCCTTTGGAACATCACCAGAATAGGATGTCACAACACCATCAACCAGGCCTTGAACAAATTCTGTTGGGGAGCTCCTAGTTCAGATCTAACCTTGTGTAACCTGGGCCTTCTTCTCCTACCCTCCCAGACCTGCCCCTTCATGCTCAACCTAAATCCACCCCTGGTACTTCCCAAACCAGATTAGAATGCACAATCCGAAGGGGAGAGTGACAGGCCACATTGCCCAGGAAGGAAACACTGAGATGTTGAGTGTGCCAGATGTATATTTAGAGCACCCTTCAGAGGAAAACCTGGGGAGGGAAAGGGAACAGTGGTAGGGAGCATAGGGACACATTCAGTTGTGCTGAAAACCCAATGGCACATTTGGCTGACCTCATGGGAAGCTCTGTAGTCAAACTGACCCTTCAGCACTGTTCCAAGGTGAGCACAAGTACTTTATACTCCCATGTCAACTATGCAATATTAAACTGGCCACGCCAAAAAGGGACATGGTCTTAGGTCAGTGACTTTTTATGAATTAAAGAGGTTGACAGATATCAAGGTTGTCTGCCAACAGTCCTGCAGCAACTGAAACAGTAAGTGCCCACTGAAGGGGGACTTGAGAAGCACATCATGTTATCTACCCTAGCATAGTAAAGAGTTTGTCTGTCTCCCTCAATGTGGGGAAACAGCACACCCTTCAAACCCTTCACCAACTCAGAGCAACCAACATAGGAGCTGGCTGCCTACTATGGACTCCAAAAATAAACCCTGCCTTCCAAAAGCTACCTCCTAATTCTTACTTTGGTAGGTCAACTCCTACAATGGGATGCTGGCCTCTATTTTCCCATCCAGCCTTTCAAAGTTATTTGCTGAGACTAGAATGAGTCCTGCATCTTCATCTGCTTGAGTGTCTTCCCAGTCCTTACTCAGGGATCCATCCTGTTTCCCTGCCACAAATAGGGAAAGCACAGAGGGCCAGGCCACAGCTCCTACCTGCCACTGGTTTCCACCTACTCCCTGTATTTACCTTCTTTACAGTAACAAGACCTGCTGGCCCCAAATAAAGCTCACTCCATCACAGTGACAAGGAATCCTGACAGCCCGGGACAGCAGCAGGGGCAGGCGCCCAGTGCCCCCTCAGGCCACAACCCATTGCCCACCCAGCAGAAGCTCATTTTAGGTAACAACATATTTTCATTATGGATGAGGGTAAAGGGAAGTCTGCAAGAGATTTTGAGGGGGCTTTCAGTGACAGGCCTGCACAGTTGAGAATGAGTTACATTTATAATATTACACAGGCCCAAGGACATTAATTAGTAACTGAGAAATGGGGAAAGGGGCATAACCACACATCTGTCAGCGACTGCCACTCCTTATCCATTTAGTTGTTCATTTGCCTATTCTGTCAGTAAGCACTGACCGATACTTACTTTGGGCCAAACTCTTACTGATACCTGGGGACGTGGAGATCAAGAGGCCTCAATGGAAAGCCATGTGCATTCTTTCCCCATGTTTCCACTACATCTCATAAAGGGCCACACTTCCACCCACTTTTCCCATGTAGGGAAATGCCTTAGAACTCGGTCCTCTCTCCACTGTCTCACCTCTCCCCTTTCCTATGAAAGGAAAGATGTCTAATCCAACCAGTCAGTTCAGGTTCTGTGACCTACATTTTCCCAGTGGACAGGGTTACAGTCCCAAAGACAGGCCCCTTCTTTTTTTTTTTAAGTATATAAAAAGTAATGTTTATTCACAACAGCCCCAAACTGGAAACAATCCAGATGTCCTTCCATGGGTGAGCGGCTAAACAAACTGGAATACTAGTGACAAGTGAAAAGGAATGAACCTCTGATACACACAACAACCTGTCTGTATCTTCAGAGGATAATGTAGAGTAAAAATATTAACCCCAGAAGTTATGCAGTGTATGATTCTACTTATATAGTATTATTTTTTATTAAGGTATTATTGATATACACTCTTATGAAGGTTTCACATAAAAAAGACAATGTGCTTACTACATTCACCCATGTTATCGTGTCCCCCCCATACCCCACTGCAGTCACTGCCCATCAGTGTAGTAAGATGCCACAGAGTCACTACTTATCTTCTCTGTGCTACACTATCTTCCCCATGACCCCCCACACACCATGTGCAGGCCCCTTCTTTCATTCCTCTTTGCCATCTAGGCTCTGAGACCATACATTCTCCTTCTCCTTCCTGCCTCTCTATTGTGAACCCAGCATGCAAGGACCCTTCCCAGGGGACAAGCCCACCATTACTGACCCCTCCTTTCTTCTCTACCCTCCCTGTTGACCTGTATGGTTGATGCAAGCAGGCCTGCAGTCCTATTTCACAGGGTTGGGCATTTGGAGTCTACTTTACAAGTTCTGCTGTCTTTTCTTATGGTTTGTTCAAGTTTACAGCTCCTGAAGTTTAGGGTAGCAAGCAGAAGATAGCACTTGGCCCCGGATCTGAGCCACAAGTTCCTAAAAAGATTACTAGAGTCTCTAGGTTTGATGGTTATTGAATATTGTGGAGCCATTATTAAACTAGGTAAAGATACCCCCAATCAGTTCATGTATATATTTGTTAATAGTCTAACTCTGAGTGGGAAGGAGGATGCAGTACTTCTCTCCCTCCAAATCCCCAAGAAGATGTAGGCTCTATCACCCTAGAGTTTACAGTCTAGGAGGCTGAAAAAAAGATACAAAACTACAGTAAAATACCTAACCTAGACTGAGTGAGCCATTGGTAAAGTTTTCATGGAAGCAGTTAATGCAGAAGACGGACCTGAATGGTGAATAAGGGGAATGATCTTGGAGCAAGAGTGGTGTTTTTGTTTCACTTAGCCCTTTTTCTGGTGTTTGAGGGATTTTGGTTTGTACCAGATTCTTTTGCCATTTCATACTCCTAATGATTATTATGGAAGAATAGCTTTGTGTTGGCAGCAACCTCTAGTGGTCTACTGTCTGGAGCTGCCGAGCCCCTGGAGCGATGGCAGGTGTCACAGGCACATGGCATCAGTGCCTGCTGGGAGGAATAAGCTCTTCCCTGCTTCCCTGCCACAGTGCCTGCCTCTACTGCCAGGGCCAGTGGGGCAAGCATGCAGGGAGGAGCCTCTGAGTTACCCCCTGTAGCTGCCGTAGGCAGGGCCATCCTCCAGCTGGCCTGGCATGATGGTGGAGGCAGCAGGTTTGCAAACTGGTGCTGACCAGGAGGAAGGTGTGGCAGGCTGTGTATCACAGTGAGAGGTCTTGACGCTGCATTGCGAGCCAGGGGGATGGAGTGCCTGAAGCTCCTTAAAGTTTAAAGTTCCCAACCTGCTGGGCTGAGTGTGCTGGGACGATTTTGTCCACCTGCCCTTTTTCCTGAGCAGCAAGCTCTGTGTAATCCTTGCCCCTTTAGCAGCCCTCTGGCTGTTGGGAAATCTTTCAACATGCCCACCTTTCTTTTGTCCGAGAGCAGCCAGTTGTGGACACCTGTTCTCCACAAGCAGCTGGAATCTCAGTCTCTCTGAGTATTCCACCTGTCTTTGCTTTCCAACCCCTCTAGTCTCCAGAGCACCATGTAATTTGGGTTCATGCTCCCAGACCAGGTACCCAAGGCTGGGTGTTTAGCAGTCCTAGGCTTCTACTCCTTCCCCACTCTGTTTCTCTTCCTCCCACCTGTGAGCTGGGGTGGGGGTAAGGCTTGGGTCCCACTGAATCAAGGCTTTGCTACTTTACCCTTTTGTGAGGTCTTCTCTTTTCACCAGATGTAAGCCATCTGGTGCAGTCTTCTTTCTGGTCACTCTTTCAGAATTAGTTGTATTTGCTATATTTTCATGTTAGATGTGGTTTTGGGAGGAGGTTTCTTCCTCACTTCTCACACCACCATCTTGTTTAATCCTGGTCCTTTCCACTAGTTGAGAATTTAAACTTGAAAATTCCTAGATTCCTCCCAGATCTACAAATCTTTGATACATGATTGTGGCTGCTGCTGTGTTACCCACAGTGGTCAGGCAGAGCATCATGATGTCCACCTTGGAGAACTATATCTACCATATCCTTGGGCAGCCGCTGCAAGCATTACCGAGGGCCATGGTCTGATCTGTATCTGTGCTCGAGAGGGTGGGTGCAGGAGAGGCCGGGAGTCTGGGTGGGTGGATGGTTGGGATGCAGGGTCCAGGGTGGTGTTTAGGGTGCAGGTGCAGGGTTAAGGACCCACTCTGAAGTCTTTATCACAGTGTCTTGGCCTCTTAGTGTTCTTTTCCCTTGATGAGAGATGGTGGCCCTGGAATCTCTGTTACATAGTAGGCAGCAATAAATGTATGCTATTTGGGTGGCTATTTGATGATTGGTAGGTCAATTGATTTGTCAAGGATTCTGTCATGATCATGGGCCATATTTTCTCAATAAATTTAGACCTCTGTGTAGGCATCTCTTATGTATTAAAATGCTTTCACTCTAGGTAAAGGAAATGTGGATCTGGGCACCATGTGTCCTAATCTCTGTTTGTAGTAGGAAGAATAATGGCTCCCTCAGAACAATGGTCATCTGGCTTCAGAACATCTGCCATAGATGTCTGTGTCTCAAGTCCTGGAATATGTGAATTTGTTAGGTTATACAGCAAAGGGGTTATTTACGTTGCAGGTGGAATTAGATTGCTACTAATAACTGAACTGCAAGTAGGAATATTATCCTGGATTATCCAGAAGAGCCCAGTATAATCAAAGAATCCCTTACAAGTGGAAGGAGGAGGCAGAAAGGAAAATCAAGGGGAGGCACAATGATGGAAGAGTGGTCAGGGCGATGTGTCGCTGCTGGCTTGGAAGATGGAGGAGGGGACTGTGAGCCAAGGCATGTGGGCAGTCTTTAGAAGCTGGAAAAGGTAGGGAAACAGATTCTCCCCCAGAGCCTCCAGGGGGGATGCAGCCCTGCTGACATCTCGATTTTAGCCCACTGAGACTGTGTCAGACTTCTCTCTAACAGACTGAACTCTAAGTTTGTTGTTTCAAGTGACAAAGTTTGTGGCAACTTGTTAGAGCAACAGAAAACTTACATACTGTTCTAAACAGACCTCTTCCATCCGCTGCCCCCGTGCCCTAGCCCTACTTCCTATGTGCCAGGGAGTGACAACCTTGGTTCCTGACATTTGGGAATTTTCCTGATTCAGTGACCTGGGCCTCTGACATTCCAGTAGAATCCATAATATTAATGCATTTGGTGAATTTTATTGAAGGTACATTCTGTGCAGACACTATGCTAAGAGCTATGTGATTATACAGGATTAAATATGGTGACGCTTGCTCAGTCTATAGGATAGACGTGGTTCTATGGGTGAGGTGACACACCAAAAGCAGGTTCATAAGAGGGGTAACTGTTCCTAACAGGGATCTTCTGGAACTCTGTCAGTGACTAGAATCTCATCATCTTCCTAAACTACTAGTTCCATGAGAATTTTCCACCTGACTATGAGTTGGTACAATCTGTTACCTTAAGGGCATGGTCTTCCTCTCTGGTCTCCTTGGGACAAATCTCTGCAAAAAGTGGGAACTGGCAGAGAGTAAAGTTTGGAAGGTAGATCATTCTTGGAGGAGAAAAGGCATGAGAAGTCATGATGGCAGCACTCTGCCACTCTGCACCCGAGATGCACTCTTACAAAAGCTAACATGCTAGGTGAGAGGGAATCTTGAGAACACAAAACATAGATCACAAGTGGGAGAAAGGGGCACAACTGAGACTCTGGAGAACCCACTGGGCAATAGGGAGCCATGACAGATTCTTGAGAAGAGGAGGACAGAGCGAGGCTGGAGTGTGCAAGGATGAGTGTGCTGCTGTGGGTGGGACAGAGGCAACAGGGAAGGGAAACCTTGAGCAATTATCAGTTTCAGTTCTGAAGCTGGATCATCAACTTCCTACCATGCCCAATGTACTGAGTCAGACAGATCCGATGTTGCTTTTTCATTAACATTGACAATATTGTGAACTCTGTTCACACAATCTCCATTAAAACCATGGAGGGTGAGGCATTGACTTTTTAAACTAAAAAAAATCCCTGAAAACTCTCAAAACTTTCCTATCATCCAAAGCTCATTAGATCAGACCCATCAAATACTGCTCTTCAAGGTAAAAAACAAGTGCATAAACATGGAGCAATTTTTACTTCTATTCTCTATTAATTGCCTGACATATTAATGATATTTTAACAAATAATCTGTGACATTCTTGCAGCCTAGCTTCAAAATGTAGGTGCCGGTTTATAAATTGAAGAATAATAACTGTAACAGCTATGTAGCTCTTTGCATTTTTCATGGCATTTTCACGTGCATTATGTCATTGGACTTCAGAAGCACTATGTGGAGTTGGCCTAATAGAGACTGAGAGAAGTTGAAAGCCAGGAGTCAACCGCAGGCAGCGTCACTCAAAACACTTTGCTCTTTCCACAGAAGCATAGTGCTTCTTATGTTTGAACTAATGGCACGACACGTGTGAGAAGAAACATGACATGAAGCCAGATGACATAATATCCAGGCTGAAACAACTGGCAGGGCCGAGGCCGAACGCTCACTCCCACAGAGCCAGCGCCAGGATGGGCCCCATCAGACCCGATGACCTTATTCCAGGCCCAGAAATGCTAAACTGGAAGCTGCCAGCAGAGAACAGGCCTGGGTCATCTGAAAAATGTGACTGGTATGAAAAATGCAATTTCGGTTTCCTAAATTGTAAGGTGTCACAGATGATTTCACACCTGGTTCCATCCCAACCCAGAGGATTATTGTCTAAATGCTGAGCTAAGCAGATCCCACCCCACGCCCTGATCAGACCCATTCCATTCCAGCAAAACCGGGGGGAAGAGGGAGGCTAGAACTTTGTTGGGAGGAAATAAGGGAGTAAGCTCTGAAACGAGCTCTTTAAAACTCTCCCTTTGTTCCGATCAAAATGTCCACATCTATCAGCTAGGTGAAAGGGACTCACAGCCCCCGGCTGCAGTGACCTTTGCCATCAGCATGAAGGTGGACCCCACCATGCAGATACAAAAATGCACCCCAATGGCCACTGCTATGTGACCAGCACCTGCCAGTTGAAAAGCTATGGGATCTGAGAGAGGAGAACCAACAGGTTTGGATGCAGCCATGTGCTAGGCACTGTGCTGGGCTCTTAACAATATTTTCTTACTGATTTCTCATAAACTCTATGCCAAGCTGAAAATATATATTAAAAAACTGAGGATCCAAGAGTGAAATAAATTCCCCCCCGTGGTCACAGAGCCCACTTACAGGTGTTAAAGAGCTCATTTGCAACATCCAAAGTATGTCACAATGGGGCCCCTTCTACCTGGGTAGCACACAGCTAGGATGAAATCCAAGGCCACCTTTCTTCAAAACCCATGTTCCAGAATTTGTTGAAGACTCCAATAAATAGCTGCCAAATAAATAAGGGAATACAGGTATTTCTACCACACGATGCTACCTTCCAAATTATGGGATAACAGAGACAAAAAGGATTTAACTTAGAGGAAAAAGAATAACTAGGGTAATTGGACAAGGCTGGTGAACACCCAGCATTCACAGCCTCACTCACCTGGAGCCGGACTGCACTGGGAGGGTCCTTCTGAGGAAAGCGAGCACAGGATGTGAAATGTGTCCGGGGCGCTGACACCTCTTGGCAACACAGCCCCAGGGAGACTCTATGTCTTGGCCTGCCAGGGAGTGTGGTGAAGAGCACGTGCATGCCCATGCTCCCAGGCCTGCACACAGCCCTGCTCAGGAGTGCCTTCACAGGGGGAGACCCTCCCTCCCGCGACAGCAGCAGTGACACTTCCAGGCTGATCCCCCGTGGTCCACTCCTCACCACTGAGGGCAGTGACTTCAATCCAAGGCCAGCTGGCCCCCGGTTACCGGGCACAGAGCCTCTGCCTCAGGAACCTCAGTGTCCACAGCGGGGTGGCGAAGATGCCCAGCAGGAAGCCTGTCAGTCTTTTGAAGCCCAGAGTGACTCGGCCAATATGAGTGGTGGTGGAGCAAACTGATGCTGTGGTTATCAGTTCGGTACAGGTCAACGTTTTGCAGAAGACTCAGTCTCTGTTTTTTCATCTTCCTCTCCACCCACCCACTGCTATCGTCCTGAGGGGCATTAACACACACAGAGTTGACTCAGCCAACTGTCATGAGAAGCGGTTGAGAGGGGGAAAGATCACTTACCTTCCCATCCCAGCCTGGGACAAGGACTGGTTGTGGCTCCTTGATCAGGCTGTTTCTTCCCTCTATGCCTCAGTTTTTCATCTGAAAAAAAAAAGGATTGTTATGAGTTTTGGTGAGAAAATCCATAGAAAGCACTTCGCCCTGTGCTCTTCAGCGTAATGTCAGTGAACATTTCCACCTCCACATCCGTTGCCACACTGGATCTTACGGCCACCCAGAAAGTTTCTGGCTTGCAATCTTAAAATCTAACATCTGGCCACAGCCTATTTCTTACCTGCCATCTCTCATCTGACCTTACCTATGTCCAGTCCCTTGAGTTGCTTTTTTCTCTGCACATCGGGTCCCTGTCCAAGCCCTCTCTTCGTCCCACTGCTCCAATCCTCTGCGGCAATCATTCCCATGAGCACCCAACCATGGGTCAAACCAGTCACCTGCCCCTGCTGCTGCCCCGGGAGCCCTCCTCACGCTGGAGGTAGTGACCCAGCCATGCCCCATCCTGGACCCTTTCCCAGCTGTGCCATAAACACACCTTGGTCCTCAAGCAGCTCTCCCCTGTTGCCCTAAGTGGACCTGCCCCACTGTCCTCCAGTCCCAGCCCCAGGTTCACAGCAGATCACCTTGCTTCCTACCTCCACGTGGTAATGGTGAGGTTAGATGTAAACTGTCTCCAGATTTTGTTTCATCACCTGCAAGTTTAGAAACCTCCACGTCTCCTTACCACATCCTTGTCCTGGGAAGATGTGTCTCCTTCCACCTTCCTTGGCAGCAGGCACTCCTCAGGAGTCTTGCCCAACAGCTACCACTTCTGTGCCCTGTACTGCCATGCTTCCCCTTGGCATATAAATATGCTCACACTTCCCATACCTTAAACAGAAAAGGAAAATCTCCCTCGACCTTTTCTCTCTCTCCAGGCCCTTTGTTCAAGGAGTTGTCTGCATGCCTGCCTCTGCTCCTTCCCCTCCACTGGCCGTGCAGGCTTCCCAGGGAACCACCCTGAGAAAATCAGTAACAAGTGTGGAGCTGTGCTTGCCTCCATCCTCTTCCTCACTTCTCCCATCTAATAATTCAAGTTCTAGCAGCTCTGACTCTACCTGCTTAATAACTTTAAAATCTGTCGCATCTCTCCATTCAACTAGCACTGATGTGTTCCGGCCTTCCAGACTTGCCGAGGGACATCTAATTCACACCCCCAATCCGGCCTCTACGTCATGCCAAAGAGGGAAAGTAGGAATGTTACTCTCCTGGCTCAGCATCGTAAAATGGTCCCCCCTGCGCTGTGGGACAGAATCCGCTGTCCTCCTCACGGCACATAAGGAAGGCCTTTTACGATCGGGCAGTCGTGAGTCCTGCCACCGTAAGGGCTGACTGAAGCACGGTGTGAGAATCTTCCTGGTCATGAGCCTCCCTCGGTCAGGGCACATATCCATTTCCCTCTTCGGTAAAAGGCTTTTGGTAGGAGATAAAAGTTGTTCAAGACTGTCAGTGGAAATTCATAAAATGCGACCCAAATTGGAATATTTTTATAGCTTAATAGAAATAGGAACACATTTCATATGGTTATTTCTTGAGACGGTTCTCCTACTGCAGAAGGCACGACTCACCCGAGAAGATGCTGAGAGAAGCGACTTCCACATGGCCCAGATGTCGTCTCGTGTGATATTTGCAAGTCCAGAACCAAAGGGTCCCTCCCCCTGCCCACAGCATCCCAGCTGCTCCACCCGTGGCCCTCGTGCTCCAGCTTGCCAGCCCACACCTGCGAGGCAGTCGTTATTATGCTCCCTTCCAGATGAGGACCTGGAATTCCTTAATGAAAGGCGATTTTCTTTAGATTCCATGTTCAGTGTCCACAGCAGAGCTGGAAGCAGAACCTGGTCTCTTGCCACTGTGGTGCAGGGTGTCTGCCCACAGGTGCGGGGAGTCCACAGGGCCCAGTGTGAGGAGCCCCTGAGTTTCTGGGCTACATGTGTGTTAGCACAGAGGCTGTGACAGAGCCAAAGGCCTGGGGCCACAGGCACCCACACAGATACAAGAGGAAGAGGAGGGGAAGGAAGAGGAGATGAGGCTGAAAAAAGGAGTAGGCACAGGATGCGCCGGCCACAGGGAGCCCAGGAGGAGGCAGGAAGCAGGACATGCTGAGCCCCCAGCTTGGCCTCTCAGGAAGCTTGAAGGCTGCACTCCCTGCTCTGACTCGAGAAGCACTGAGTGTCCCTCTGAGTCACAAGGTATTTTCACCAGATCCTTGGGTACAGCCCTGGAATACCATGCAGAGACAGGTGACCACTCTGTTTGAATTCTTTAGTCCCACCAGCTTTCTCCTGAGCCAGTTAATGATTCTGCACCACTTCAGGCTCCTGGCAGCCCAGCCAGCTTCACGCTAATGGCTCCTGCCATCCAGGCCACATGCACAATGCCACTGACATTGTAGGCACAGCCTGCGACCCAGCAGAGGTCTGCCTCCCTCGCACACTCACACACAGGTACACACACACATTTTCAGTGGAAATTCATAAAATGTGATACAAATTGTAATATTTTTATAGCTTAAGGGAAATAAGAAATTTCCTATGATTCTCCTACTGCAGAAGGCACCTTACCACTCAACCAAGAAGATACTGAGAGAAGCAACTTCCATATGACCCAGATGTTGACTGTGAGACCATGGCAGGGGGAAAGCACATTGTGCAATTGTGTGTGTGCGTGCACACGTGTGTGCATGCATGCGTGTTTGCACATGTGTGTGCAGGGGATAGGGGTGAGAGGGCCGCCAGTGTAACCTGGGTGGTTGGAATCATCCTAACTGAGGAAATGACATCAGACTACAGGCTTGAACATGTCTCAAGGATAACCAAGGGAAGACCATTCCAGGCAGTGGGAGGAGCTGGTGCAAAGGCCCTGAGGTTGAGAACACACCTGGTGTATTGGAGAAACGGCATGGAGGCCAGTGTGGGCCAAAGCAAGCAAGAGGGAACAGAGCAGGAGATGCCATCACAGAAGGTTAGGGGGCCAGCTCATGCTCCTCTGCTATTCCCCACTCTGCACCTGAGGAGCCTTTTCTCTAACACATCACCGTCATGACTCCCCAAGCAAGCTGGGTGTCCTCTTGCCTCAGCACCTGTTCCTATGTTCTGATGCCACATTCGGCTGACACCTCCTGCCTCGGCAGAGCTGAGCATCCCATTCCCTGTGCTCCCATTTTCCTTGACTATAAAGCTATTACAGCCCTAGACACACTGCAGTGCAGTGACCCAACACCCTGTCTCTGTCACCGCCAGACTGGGCTCCTCCTGTCTCCCCATCTGGCTGGAAGGAGAACAGGCAGAAGGACCGGAGAGGGAACTGGAAGTACCACTGTACCTGAAAATGGACAGTATCCTGGCCAAACACACACTGAGCCTCTTTCAGTTTCCTTGTCTGTAAAATGAATGTAACAATCTTATTCTACCTACCTTCCTTCCAGAGTTATTCTGTGGGTCAAAAAATGGAGTGGGGTTTATGGCGTGAGGCTGACAAGTGCAAAGGGTGGTCACGACTGTTCCTGTTTCATGACCTAGAAAACCCTTTATGCTGTACAGATAGATGCCTCTGGTCCCAATCATGTCCCAGTTGTGTGCCCTTGGTTCCAGTAGAGGCAAGGCTGGAATGAAGATTATCTTGTGTCACACATGGTTTGTTCACAAAATGGAGCCAGCGGAGCCTGCCTCCCTGTGGAGAAGAGGCGCCTGGGTGACGAATCAGGAGGGTCCCTCGGTGGACACATTCACCTTTGGGCCCAGCCAGGAGGGGCAGTACCTGACTGTCTGAGCCACGCCTGCTGTGGGAATGCCAACTGCCCCTCCCCCGACCCATCGCCACCCCCAGAAATTGTCAAAAAGGCATCGTGATAGATAGAGCTCCTGCATGCCACAAGGTAAGTGCTTAAATCTTTTATAAGACAGTCAATGGCCTTTATAAACCCTCAGACAAGAATTACACTGTGTCTGAGATGGGGCTGAAAGTCAATGGGAAATTGATTCTGTCTAGCTGGTGCTGTTTCAAGGAGGCGGCTTGCTGGGTGCCTTCGGGACCAAACATGCCATCTCCCCTGTGCTCCAGGGCCTGGCGTGCCACGTGCTAAGAATGCTGAGATACCTGAGCACATTTCTGGGCAGAGGCACTGGGCGGCCGAGGGTCCCACCACAGGAAGACCCTGGGGGGCATCGACCAGCTCCAGGGATGGTTATGAAGTGTGTTTACTTTCCCAGGAACTGATGCCGGGACCAATCTGATGTCATCACCTGCACCCCAGGTGGGGAAGCCAGAAAATGATAAACGGTCATTGATCTGGAGACCACCATCAGAGGCCAGACACACCTTCAATTACTCTCCTTTGCTAATGACCCCATTAGCCACTGGATCAAACACAGTTAGAGGGTGTGATATGCTGTGGTTATTTCTCTGCCAATACCCATTGGCCTGATACATAACCGTCCACCACGGATGCCAAAGTGGGGAACAAAGACCCCCTGTTTGGGACTGGGGAGTCCAAGGATCCTGGCCTGCCTACTCTCCCTGAAGCCCAGGCCTGGTCACACCAGGGATGGCTCTGAATCAGAGGCAAGTGGATGGACTTTGGCAGCTAAATCAAACAGCCCCCATCCCGGGAAGCAGTGGGGACAATGGAAAAAGCATCTACTCTGGAGTCAGGCAAACCTGGGGTCTGAAACCGGGCTCTGCAACTTCCTGAGTAACCTCACAGAAATTCTTCACCTGCCTGGGGGTCAGCTGCTTCAAATGTGACTTGGGGATGATAATAATTCTGTCTCATGGACTACTGAGGATGAAATATGACAGCACATGCCACATGCAGGACACAGAGCCAGCACTCAGTGGCTTTCCATCCAGCACTGCTGACCATTCAGCACTGAGCCCCGACTTTGGTGAAGCAGGAATAGCTCTCTCTTGGAAGCAGAGGACCTGGAATCAAACAATGAAAATGGTAATCTGGCCTTAAGTACTGGCCATATGCAGATACTGGAACCAGAGCTTACAAACCATCTCCATCCTTCCTTGTCCCCATTTCACAGTTAAGGACCCTGGAGCCC